TTATTAATTTCAACGGCCATTTTGTCAGTTTAATGTTCAATTATGCTGTTTTGTGCTAAAAGAATTATGTCGCTACTTTCCTGCCTTTGTGAAATTCAAAAAATTGCTGTGGTTTCGATGCAATAAAATAGCAAAAGAGGTAATTTTTAGGGGCGAGGCAGGTAAATATTTTCTTCTAGAGAAATAAGTTTCTAGTAAAAATCTATTTGTGTATTAAATATCAGATTTCTATTCTAAACGGTGTAGAAGTTTCGGGCAGACAGACATATTGATAATAATTAGCTCTTTTTTTAATTTTGTTAGAAAAATGCTCAAAAATAAAAAGCCTAAAAATTGAAAATGTAATAAAGTTTCCAAGTTGATTGTTTAAAAATATAAAAACAAAAGAAGAAAAAAGTCATATTCCCCCTTTTATTTTGTTACAAATACATAAACAAAGAAAAAGTATTACAGCACGTTCTGTGAACGCTCATTAAGGATTTTTGCTATGGTTATTAAACAGCACAATATTCTGTCAATAAAATTCTCTTGGTAATTTTTCTTTTTCTTTATGAGTATACAAAAATGACAAAGAAAATACAAAAATAAAAAAATAAATAAGAATCCAACAATAAAATTAAATTAAAATATTCCCTTAAGAAAAATATGTTGTATTTCTAAGGACATTCAATTAATACAAAACACAAAAAAAAAAGGAATATTTTTATTTTAATTCGCAAATATCGTAAATTTGTATATGTATAAAGAGCCTATGAGAAAATATCAAAGAATATTTTTTTAATTTTCATGAAAAAGCTGATATTACACTCGGCGTATTTGAGAATATTTTGTCGTTTCGAAGTATAATTTTTAGTTATATTGAATAATTTTCAAAAACTTAAGTATAAAATTATTTAAATTCCCGTTTACACATCTTTATATTAATATAATTGTATAAATATTTGTGTATGAAAAAGAAAGCATTTTCTAACGCGAGTATGTTTTGAAAATAAAAATTGAATGAATGGGTCTTAAAAACTTTAGACGCACACAATACTCAAGGAATAAAATTTTCCGTTTTGTTATTTACGTTATGAAATTTTATTTTTTTTGCTTTTTGGTTAATTTAATTTAGTTTTGCATATTTTCATATTATTTTGTATTCCATTTCTAATTTAAAATTTTTATATAAAAACTTAATGTAAATAAAATAATCTTTGTTAAAATTTGCTCTTAGTATTGCCAAATGCTGTTTCAGAAATATTTTTACAAGATTAGAAATATTGTTTTGGAAATGGAGTGTGTTTTATATGTATAACTTTAAGTGCATTAAAATAAGGACTTAATACCCTAATTTAATCATAATCAAGTTGTTAACGATTCTGCACACAATGCTTTTGATGATTCGTCATATCTATGATAAGCGATTAGGTTGGCAAACTTATACAAATTTCATGTATCATCTTATCAAACTCTACCTGATATAATTGCTCGATGTAATTATTCTATGATTTAAGATGCTTATACTAATTTTTATTTTCTAAATTTTTATTAAATTTAATAAGAGTGCGTGATTTAAGAAGAACTTATATTGTAAATCAAGAGACCTTTCTAAACAGAATTCCAATATTTAGTGTCAAGAAATTTCTCTAATTAGTTTCTTAGGTATATCAGAGAAAAGTGTAAAATTGACCCAAAATCAAAGATCGATTCTCAAATACAGGTTTTCTCGAAAATAATAAATTGATAGTTTATTCTCTTAACATATTGAAATATTAAAAGTGTGCTTAATATTTTAATAAGTTTGAAGGCGAGAGATAACTAAAAGCTGTTAAAATTTCAGACTTCTTCAGCTTGACGTCAAAGAGAAAAATAATATCAACGGCCATTGTGTCAGTTTAATGTTCAATTATGCTGTTTTGTCCCAAAAGAATTGCGTCACTACTTTTCCGCCTTTGCGAAATTCAAAAAATGGCTGTGATTTCGATGCAATAAAATGGCAAAAAAGAAAAAGAGACTTTAAGAGAAGAAGTTTGAATTCAAAAAAAAGGCGGATATAAATTTTTAACAAAATGGATTCGTAAATAATGCGTTTCTGTCGAAAACTTACAAGATGTAAAATCTGGTTTTGGTTCGACCATGCATTGCGGCCAGTAACAGGAAATTCTTAATATGTAAGAATACTCTGAACTTGACGTTAATTGCATATAACGTGGCATCAACTGCCATCAAAGGTGATTTCAATTTAATTTAAGAATCACTGAATGTAAACTATAATTAAACAATTTTTTGGAAAAATTACTTAAGTTGGTAACCCTATTTGTTTATATTCTTATTTTGAATTTATTAAAGATAATATTTTTGTATTAAAGATTCTGGGACCTGTATAAGAGCGAATAACTTTTATTTTTACAGAATTTTTGTTTAAAAATATTTAATTGTGCATAAATCATAATTTATACAAAAAAAATTGTCGGAAAATATTTCATATTACTTTTACAAGGCCCTTTAATGAAGGAAAATGTAAAAAGTAATGAAAAAAATTGTTACCTATAAAAAATTATTAATATTTAAAAAAACTTACAGTTTGATGAAAAAAAATAAAACAAAAAAAAATGGAAAAACAATTCGTTAATTAAAACTTCAATATTTGTTGATAATGGCACATTGTAAGCTAGGGGGTTATTTTTGATAATTTAATAAAAACGAGAAAAAAAATAGAGTTGACCATGTCAACTGTGTGATACCCGTACGAATTTGTTGTCATATGTGCGAATAAAGATGCCATAACTGACTATGGGACAGACTATGACTTTATGTTGCCGTATATTAATTTATGCAAAATTTCAGTACTGTGTTTTTCAAAATACTGTGTGTGCCAAACTACTATTGAAGTTGTATGGCAGGTACCAGAAGGAACCAAGTAATTTTAACGACTTTTATGAGACACATTGGCCCTAATAATATATTCGTTTGTGTGAAATTTCAATACCACAACTTTAATAGTTTCTGAGATATAGCTAAATAAATTTTGAAGTTGTATGGCAGCTACCCGAACCGGTACCCTGATCATGTCCAATTTAAATAGGGTTCTGGCACTTACTACAATAAATCATTTGTGAAAATTTGGTGAACTTAGCTCAATTAGTTTTTGAGTTATCGTTCGGACGGACGGACAGACAAAGCTAAATCAACTCAGAATTCGACGCTGATTAAAAACATACACTTGAGTCTATATCTAAGACCGTTATTTCTCAACGTTACAAACGGTAAGGCAAATTTAGTATACCCTTCGAACATACGTTCGTACGGGTATAAAAAATATTTTGTCTTTTTGGATATTCTTAATTTGTCCTATTACAGGCTTTATACATTTCTAGTTATAAACAAACGCACCTCGTAAATCATATGTAAATAGTTAAAAAAGTGAAACAAAATCAAGGAGTTTCGAAATTACCGTTCGAGAAATTTTCATTTCATTAATTCTAATGTCTACTAATTTATTGAAATTTATCGCAATTTTCTTGAAATTGGAAATCGATGACACTCGAAATTTTCGTCAGAGGGTTAAGGTCAGAAAATATTTTTTTAAAATTTAAGGATTTATGAATAAGATTCAGCGTTTTGCACAAATTATGGTACAACTACAAAAAGACAATATAAACTTAGAATCTCCTTACATCTGAAATCGGTTGGAAATCGGTTATTTATTTAGCAAGTGGAGCTTATTTTCAAGTGGAGCTCATTAAAAATCTTTTCCTTAATAAGTAATTTTCCAATATTTGTGCTTTTATAAACTTATGCGCTGTCAGACAGATATAGGGGTAAGCAGAATTAAATGAAATTAAACAAAAAGCAATTTATTTCCAAATTTTCTGCGAAATATAGCAAATACGAGTAATGTTTCCATTCAAAATATTTATTTTGAAATTCATACCATCTTAGAGAATTTATAGAGAAAATCTAAATTTTTGTAATATGAAAATAAAAATAATTAATTCAAATTTCACGGTTGGTTTTTTCACCCATCATCGTAATGTGTTTAACGACATAATATAGAAATTTTATCTTCAATGTAGGTTTTGTGATAATATTTTTTTAGAATACAAAAGAAATCAACAATAGAAGAAAATCTATTAAAACGGGGTATTATTGTACCTACATAAAAAGTAAGCGCATAATACAAAAAGGATCGTATTGAAAATTATAATTGTTTGGACCTTATTGAAAAGAAAAAGATAATTAGACTTTTCGTTACATGATATTTTAAGGTTATCTTTATTTTTCCTATAACCTTAAAAATAAAGCTTTTGAATTACGAGATGTTTTTTACATAGGTATTTAATGTTGCCGTAAAAATGAATGTATGTATTAATGATTGTTTTATTAAAATATTAGACATTTTTTTTAATCCTGATTCAATTGTACTGAATATTTGATCCGTATTTAGTTAAATTATATCCTTGAGCCTCTACTTAATATTATGCTTTTGATATAGAACGCATAAGATATGTCTGCAACAATATTAAATGTGTGTGTTTTTTCAACTGCAACAAATTTAGGAAACATGATTGTTAATTTTAATTGTTACCCTTTCTGGATAAATATTATAATTAATAAAATAAAGCAACAAATGTAAAAATTCTCAAACAGGATTAAAAATTTTCCCTTCCAATGAGAAACAATGAAAAATTTGTTGTTTAAATAACAATGATTTGGCTGCGATGTTTTCACGTTAACACGATTGGATTTACATACATATATGATATTGCATAAAATAAATTTAATTATTCTACGTTATACATGGTGGAAATTCTAGAATATTAAGATTAAAATGTTTTAAGTATTTGAAGTATTTGCATCAGAAATTCTAATATAGTATGCAAATAAATTTTTAGAAAAGTTAAACTTTTGGATATTTTTAAAATTTTTGTACAATACCCAACATAACTTTAAATTATACAATAGTAAAAAATTATTTTTTTGAAAATTATTAAAAGATTATGAAAATAGAAGAAAATTTAAAATCCCGATGTCATCATTCCTCCGTTTTTATTATAACAATCGAAATGTAATGATGAACTGGGTGTAATAACTGTTTGAGTTCTTTGTACATCTCTAGCTGGATAATAAACGCATGGGCCAGGTGATGGTGCACGATTACGTTTTATACGTTTACCTGATGTTATTCTAACACTTGTTGGTATACCATTATTATTATTACTATTATTGTTATTATTATTATTATTTCTTGTTAAATTTAATGCCGTTGTACTTCGTTGTGTACCGTGACGTGAAAATCGACCAGATGAACGATTATTACCCTCACCATTTGATATTGAACTTTCATAATGTATTAAATCTGGTTGATCACGACTAATTCTACCTTTACAAAATAATAATAAAAATATACGTTTGAATTTTTCACCAAATATCACATATATTATAAAATTTGCACTACTATTTATTGTTACTAATAAATTTGAAATTTTTATTAAATAATCATCAATTATACCATAAAATGCTTCCAATATATTTGTATATAATGCTAAAAAATTTAATAAAAAAAATACTATAACAACACACAATAACATTGTTGCTAAACCAATCTCACGTCTTTCTGTACGACTTAAACGCTGTCGTTCACGATTTGCCTTTTGAACCTGACGATATATTAAACAATTTAATATTGCTAAACTAAGAAATGGTATAAAATATATAAATATTAAATAACACCAGTGTATATAAATATTAATATATTGATCATTACGACGTAATGATGATGCAATTACGCAAAATATCACATTGTTATCATTATCATTATCATTGATATTATCGTAATTATAATTATTATTTAAAAATAATTCATCAATACCATCATTATTAAAATTAATAGTATTGCTACCGATACCATTATTATTGAAACTATAACTAGAATTATTAATATTATTACCTCTATTCGTATTAATACTACCATTAATATTATTATTAGTTATTGAAAGAGTAGAACCTCTAACATTATTTGTATTACTAGTAGTAACACTATTAGAAATAGTATTACCAGTATTATGAACTCCATTAATTGTATTATTTGTATTAATTGGATTATTATATATTGGTATATTATTATTATTATAATTTAAAGTATCTGTTATTACAATTACTTCCCAAAATCTTGGTATATTATATAAAAATGCAAATAATATACATATAATAAAATAAATTTTTGCTCTACCATATGTACATAATGCTCTAGCTTTTAATGGATGACAAACAGCAACATAACGTTCTAATGTTACAGTAAATGTCATATATACACTTGATGTTTGTGCTGCCATTGCTAATGGAAACATACAAGGTGATATATTCGGATATATATAATAATAATAATAAAATAAATAACCGGTATATGGATATATTGATGGTATACCAAATAATAATATTGATGTAATTATTAATACAGTATCACATCTAGCCAAACCAATTAATAAGTAATTAATACTTGAACGCATTTGTGGCCTTGATAATATTATCATTGATAATATATTACCTAATATACCTAATAAACCAACAAAATTTAATATAACACCACATATCCAAAATTCAAAACGTGCAAATTCTTGATCTGAAAAATCTATTTGACATCTGCTATCTAATAAACTAGTACCATTATTATTATTATTATTTGTGTAATTAAAATAATTTGTTAAATTATTATTATTATTATTATAATTAAAATTTAAATTATTAATTGTATTATTATTATTATTATATTCATTTATTAAATCAATTTGACTGTAATCATATTGTAATGTTGTTGAGGCTGCTTTAGCAATATTTGTAGCAGCAGTTGTAGCAATTGAAAATATATCAATATTTTTTTCATTATTATTAATATCACCATTATTATTATTATTATTAATAATAAAATTTCTAATATCAAAATTATTACTTGCATCACTAACACTACCATACATATTTGAATCATTATTAATAAAATCATTAATAAATTCATTATTATATAAATTTGTTTTTGATGGCATATCATTATAATATGATGATAACGATGATGATGAAGATGATGATGTTTGTAATGGTGATGTAATTGTTTCATTTTTAAAATAATCTAATAAATTAAAATTATTTAATAATGTATTATTTAATTTATTTAAATAATTATTATTATTATTATTATTGTTGATTTCTGATAAGAATTCTTTATTATTTATATTAAATTCTAAATTATCAATAACTTGATTACCATCATCAATATTAATAATGCCTCCATTTACAAAACCACCACCACCGCCACCACCATCTCCACTATCATCATTTAATACATCACTTTCGTAATCAATTATGTTATCAGTAATATAATTTTCAGTATTGAAGTCAATCATCAGTTTTTAATGTTATATAATCATTTATAATAATTGATTTCATAATATAATTTTATAATTTTATATTTAATTTTATTATTGTATAATAATAGTTCTTATATAAAGCTTCATTAAATATTTATAAGTAATTTTTTTCTTAATTATTATATAACTTTTATATTTTAAGAATATTAATAGTTTTGGTATGTCTTTTTAACAATATTTAAAAAATAATCTTTATGTATGTCATTTATATAACTTCTTACATAGTTTAATCATACAAATTTATTTCAGTTTGAATAGAGCTAATCATCTATAAATTCGGTGAGAAAATTTTTCGTATTTAAATATTTAAAAGAATAATTAAAGCTACAGAGTTATCAATTGGCAAATTATTTCGTTCATATTTCATATTATTTACTAAATCTAATTATTATTTATAATTTTCCAGAATTTTTCTTTAATTAATTTATTGTTAATTTTGTTTATATTTTGTATACAATTTCTATAATTTTCTTTGCTCAATGGTCTTGTCAATTATTTTTTACTCGATTTAAAATCATAATTATGATTATTGTAAAATTATTATAAAATAAAAATGTAATTAAAATCTGATTATTTAGAAAAAAAAAAAAAGTTTTTCAAATTTATTGAGAGAATAATCCAAAATTTTCCAAATAAATTTTTTTTTCTAGATTTTAAAAAATTTTTGAATACTTGTCAACTTTTTATGTTTTTTTTCCTAATAAAATTATTGATAATTAGAACAAAATTTTATACAAAATTTATTTTTGATATTTAATTAAATTGAAACGGAAAAACAAACTATCAAAATATATTCAAAATTATAATGGAAAAGGTTTTTCTAACATAATTTTCTCTTCATTTAAAATTTTAATTAGAATTAGATTTTCTAATATTTTTTTTTAAAAGATTTTTCTTGTAAAATGAGAAATTTAAAATTTTAAAATTAAATTTTGTGACAAATGAAACAAATAGTTCTACTTACAAAAGAATTCTAGTACAAAAGAATTAAGTTTAAAAAATATTTTCATGAAAATTTATGTATGACAAAAATAAATTAATTATTGTAATTATTATTAGTTTATATAAGACTTATTCTAAATTTAATTTTTCAAGTTTAAAAAATTTTTTTTTACTTATTTTTACTTTTATAATTCCACAATATGAATTTCCAAATATTTTACTTATATTCTTTGCTTTTGAATTTAAAACCTTAAAATTCTTTTAATTTGTAGGCTAAAATTCAAAAATTTTAATAGCTTCCTTATCTTATCGTAATTCCTTTTCTCATCCTACTCTTATTCAAGTTATTTTATATTCCCAATTAATTTGTTTTTCGATGATCGATTAAATGAGTGAACGATAAACTTTTTGGCTCGAAATTTGATATTTTTCTATCAATTTTTCTTTCTATCACTGTAACGCTTTGAAGAGATGATTTTTTTTTTCCTTTTATTTTTCTTTACTTATTAATTAATTTGTCTGAAATTTAGTAATATTGTTCATTTTCCTTTAAAAATAATTGGTAAAATATATATGAAATTTTTCAAGGTGTTCGCCATTTTAATTAAAATAATAAAATCATGTTATTTAATACCAAATAATGGTGATGTGTGAATTTCAGACGAAAAATACGAATTTGAGACGATTTTTCTTTTTTTGTGACAACCATTTAAAAACTTTTGATATTTAATAGAAATTTTTTTTGATATATTTTTTTTTTAGATATCCTTCGATTAATTAATTTTCATTATTGTTTTAAAATCCAAAATTAATTAATATTTAATTATTAAAAATATTTTATCACAGCTTTTCGTTTTAGAAGCATTTCTCATTCCAGATTTAAATGTGATCGAAATACGAAGAACAAGGTCTGAAAAAAAAAAAATTAAAAAAGAAATTAAATATTTTAGAAATTAATTAATAAATATAAATTATTAGTAATAAAATATAAATGAGTACTAATTGTTGAAAATAAAGAAGTTGATATTATTTGTGTATTATCGTAATTTTGGTAACTAATAGAATAAATGCAATGACTTTGCTTTAAAATTTTCTTTATAAATTTTTGCTTCTTTTGAAATATGGTCACCCTCACGGCTAATAAATTGATGTAATACACTAACAAAAGTAGGTTGGACAAATATTTTATTTTAATTAATTTCAACTGTTCACCTTTTTTCAGGTCTGATACCTGTTTGTATATACCGTGGGTGAAAAAAACAAAAAGGTTTTTCATTTGACTACTTTTCAATTCAAAATCTCAAAATCATAAATGTTCTTTATCTTTTGGAAAACTAAATATAGTATTTTTTCGAAATATTTCCTAAAAAGTTAATTACCTCGAAGAAAGCGCATGAGTTATTTTAAATCGTTTTTCTTCAATTTCTATTTATATTTCTTTCCTTTCTATATTTTTTTACTCTTTTTACAAAATCCTTTTCTCTTTTTTCATTCTATTTGACCATCATAATAAATTTTTCCTTAATTTTTGTTTCCTTTACTTAAGATAAAAGAAAAAATAAGATAGAAAACCGACAAATATTAGAAATGTAATTATATCCGGAAGAACCGAAATTTTTTGGCAGACAAATTTTTCTTTTTCTTTCACAAAATCTTTTAATTTTTAGAAAAGTAGAAAATGTTTAGAATCCTTTTTGAAAAAAAATAAGTAAAACTTGAAATTAAGATTTACAATCAACAAATTTGGCTTAAAAATTAAAATTAACTTGCGTTGTCGAATATATAAAAATAAAGTTGGGCCAAACGAATGTTTGCCAGAACTTTTCTTTTCAACAAGGAAAATGATTCTTCGAAAAGCAATCTAGCTGGCTACTACATTATTTAAATCAGTTTCATTCGTATATCTACATTTTATATAAAACAATTGCATACATTTAGGATGAGAAAAAAAAAAAAATTATAAAAGCATTTATATGATGGTTAAGCAAGTGAGTTAAAGAAAATAATTCCTTTTTTTTCCGTTAGCATTCTACACGGTTTCGGAAATATAAGGTGTAGAAAATTCGAATTTTACGAATTTCGATAGGCGGTAACTTAAGAGGAGGTTGAGATGGAAAAAAATTTGCTTGTAAAGCAGTAAACTTTGTATTTAATGTCTAAAACGTGCTAAAATTTCAAACTTCTAAAACCGCATTTCAACCTTCTAAAATCGCAGTTTGAAATTTTAGCATGTGTTAATTAACTTAACCACGCATGTGTTAAGTTAACTAACAATTAAATTTAAAGTTCGATTATCGCGAAATTATTAACTAAAAACTAAAAAGAACCTATTGCTACTTGTTAATGCCAGACATAAAATCATGAAAAATCATTAAATAAAAAAAGGAATAGACGGACATTGTAAAATATCAGCACTGATTTCTTTTCTTTAATTGCAATAAGCTAATAATTTTCTAAGATTTCCTTTTCGAAAATAACAAATTGGAATATTTAAGACGAAAAATAAAAACTAAGATAAATTGACCTCTTCTTGTCTGTTATCCTTGTTTATGAGATTTTTTTTTGTTTTCTTTCTAATTTAAAAAAAAAACCAATCCAACAAAATAAATTTTCTAGTAAAAAAGAAAAGAAATGTTAAGCTTCAGTCCTTTAAATTGGTTATTTTTATTTTCGTCCAAGTGTTTCCATTTTTAACTTTCCTAAAAATGTAGTTTTGTATAAAATTGATCATATGAAATCCTTGAAAACAATTTAAGATCTATGGACAAGTTGTCAAATACCAAAAAAAACCTTACTCATAACGATATTTTGATTTGTTGACAGATGGAAAATAATTTAAAATTGAATATGGTGATGGTGAAAGGGGGCGACGACTTACAACACATGAATGAAAAACTGTAACTTCACTTGATTAAAGCTGTTCTAGAAACTTCAAGCTGTTTTCAGAAGCTCATTATTTAAAAATTTAGCAGTGTGAGTTAGGAATGTCATTAAGAGAATTCTGCGATTTAAGTTAGAATTACTATAAAAAGTTCGGAATTAGTTAAAAAATTAACTAAGACGAATTTTAAGAAATATTTATTTGACTTTTTAGTTTTTGCCTCTGTTTCGAATGTCGTTTATTACCTTTCATTAATATTTTTCTAAACATAAGCAGATTTTTTGAAAGCATTTAGTATAATATGTTTTTTCCATACAAAATTTTGTTAGATTGTTTGAGGGAAGTTTTTTTATCTTTAATTTGACTAATATATTAGAATTAGTGACTTTAATACTTAAGCAGTTCTGCATTATTACGGCAAATTCCTTGTCCCCTCTTTAACAATAGAATTGGATTTATAATTATCCGTATTTTGCTGCTGCTTCAATTTAAAATTTTAATAGGAATAGAAGAAAGGAATTTTTTTAAGTTTGAGCTTTATAAAAATTTTTCTGTTTAAATAATAGAATCTTCCTGTTTAAATAAAAATTTCGTGATTTCAATATTAAAATTCATAAAAAATATTAAAAAAATTTAAAAGCAAATAAATCGAGTGAAAAATTAAATTTTAATAAAATTTAATATTCATTATAAAACAGGATTTTCTCCTTTATCGATTTATTTAAGGAAATAGAAATCATAAATAAAAAATTTTTATTGTTTATTCTAAATATAGCTAAGCGTATATAAAATATAATTTATAGTGAATACTTAATGTTTTCAGTTCATTTGCACCAAAAATTGAAATATTTTTCATTTTTTTTAATGTTAATAAATTTGTATGTATAACATTATGTTTTCTGATGTTATATGTAGGCGTACTACAATATCCACAAAGCTATTTAAACCCGAAGATTATAATATTTTAATATTCAATTTTAAATCGGATTATCAGAAAATGGTAATTATGCATATAAAACATACATCGACTGGAATTAATAATAAGGGTGTAATGTTACGTTAGAAAATTAAAATTTTATCTCTAAAAGAAATAAGATGTTACTTTGGGCGATATAGTTTTTAAAGTTTTAACTTGCAAACTTTGTAAGTAAAAATCCCAGTTGAATTTTATGTTTAACAAATTGAGTTTGCTTAAAAAAAATAATCGGTTTCTAAAATATGTCGCCTTTCATACAAAAATTGTATTTATGAACTGTATAAAATTAGATTTTAAATGTTCGCCGAGATATTCACATAATCTAACGGGTATGTGCATTTACCATTGTTTTTTAAAACAGTAGTGTAGTGTTTGTACAAAATATGGTTCGGCAGGAAGAAATCTCAGTCTGGTTGACAAAAGCACATAAGTCAAAAAACTACAATTTCTGATTTTAGAACAGCTGAATAGTATTTTTTCTGGAGCACATTCTGACAAGTACCAACTCATAAGTTGGTATATATGATTTTTTTTCTTAAAATCAACTAAGTAATAATCAACCTAAAAAAATTTCAAATTGTTCTATCCGATAAAAACACATAAGTCAACTTATGTGATTTTTACGGAAAAAATTTCATGTAAGAATACGACTTATTTTAAATTTTTTTGAACAAGTAGCCTATACGGTGTAATTCAAATTGTGGTTCTAGTTTTAAATAACTTTACTTTATATGATTATTTTACTTTGTGTAATAAAATTTGTTGAAATTACTGTTTAGTTTGATATATAAATTTGGTGTGATTAATTCGCTTTATTTGTTAGTATTATAATTTAAAATAAATTAACATATTGAAAAGATAAGCATTAATTGAAAATAATAGTTATTAAAGTTACTTTTTGATAATTTCAAAGTGAATTCTAAAATGTCTCTTAGTCGGTAAATTTTTTGTAAAATTAGTGCAGGAAAATCAACACAAAGCTGATAAAACTGCTCAAAATTATAAAGGTATTTCCAAACAAATTTTAAGTGACACAAATAATTTTACCTCTTATTATACCCGTACGAACGTATGTTCGAAGGGTATACTAAATTTGCCATACCGTTTGTAACGCTAAGGAATAATGTTCTGAAATATAGACTCAAGTGAATTCTGAGTTGATTTAGCTTTGTCTGTCCGTCCTTTAGTCCAGGCGATAACTCAAAAACAAATTGAGCTAAGTTCTCACAAAACCAAATTCACCAAATTTTCACAAATGATTTATTGTAGTAAGTGCCTATTTAAATTGGACATGATCGGGGTACTGGTTTGGGTAGCTGCCATACAACTTCAAAATTTATAGTCAACTTGTCTTATGAGACAAATTTTTTAATGAGAGTCCTTTCATAGAATCTACGTGAATTTTACGTTTTACTTGTAAAAAAACGATTTTTCTGCAAATGGTTTGTGTTGAAGGTAAAGTATTTTTGAAATAATTCACATAATGTCATACTCATTATCATTCAAAGTTTAAATGCTACTTAATTTTTGTTTCACTTGATTGAATAAACAAAGTTCTTAGGCCTAAAACTATTTAACATATTAATCATTCAAAAAATTAAAAGAAACCCTTAGACTTCTACAAGCACAAAATTTAGTAATTTTAACATTATGTAAATATTACAATATGTAAATAAATACTATGTAAATACATTACGGCAAATAAGAAGTAAAAAATTATGGAGGTGATAAACAAAAAATTATTTCCTTCAGACTACAAGAATGATTGTAGGTAATAAAATTCTTTTTGTTAAATTTAATTTTAATTCAATAAAATATTTAATGTAATTTTGAAACTTTTGTAACACAAATATACTTACATAATAATCCCTATATATATCATATTTCAGTGTTATCACATATCACAATATAACGTATGTAGATGTGGTAACACTGAAATATAATTATATGTGAGTAAACAAATAATATTTTAAATTTAATATTAAATGAGTGCTTTATTTGTTACTAAGGTAAACAAACGTATGTATATAATATTTTCATTTATAAAAATGAT